AGGGACGGCTAGCGCAGATAGCCCTCGTGTAGCTTTGCGCGAAATTCCAAAACAAACAAACAAACACTTCCAATAATAAATCAGAAACATGTTCATTGCTTCAAAATAATTACTAAATAAAGTGATTGTGTTATTACTCTCGTAATTTAATAGAAATAATTAAGATAAAGTGTTTTAAAGGTAAATTACAAATTACTTGTATTATTTTTAGCTCAAAAATGACATATTGACTATAGAAGCATAACAATTTTAATATATCATAAATTAGTTTTATTTGAACACATGTAATGGTTGTAGTTGTATTATAGTTTCAATATAAAATCCTTTTTAATCTTCACATTGCATTACTCAAAAAAAGAAGGGCGTAAGATTTAGATCTAAAAATTCTCGAAATCAATTATATTGAACACGAAGTTGACGTACTGACATGGCTATATTTTTTGTGAAGGTTGATGAATTGGAAAATGTTCAGACAGATCGAAATAAACATAAAATCGATTTATGACTTCTAGTGTATCGAAAATTCGATATTATGCAGCCTATCTATCTATTTATCTATAATAACACTCAGTTAGTTAAAACACGTTTATTTATAAATGGTATACGTCTTATTCGACGTCTCAATAGGATATATGAAAATAACCGCTTTTTTAGAGTATTGGTGAAACATGAAAAATACTGTATAGCTGCTGCACTTTCAGGCGTCGCTATTTTATTTCATTTTTGTGTGTGTTTAGTGAAATCCGATAATGTCCTCACAAGACGAAGTACCCAAAACACCATAGCCAATTTTTCAATCCCAATTATATGTCCCGAATAAATTTCTAACAAGTATCACCAAAATCTGCCATTATTTCTATATATTTTTTAGAAACATATATATATATATATATGTAGGTTATTTAAAAGTTGAACAGTTTAAAGCTGTGCAATTAGTTTTGTTGTTAAAGACTTACAAATAATTTAAACCAGTGAACAAAACCACTAAACTATGTAGATTTAGGATACATTATAATAAAACCGTTTTATATAACGCCCAAAGAAAAAACAAAACGCTGGACAGCATTAATGATATTTTTCTAAATATGTTAAATTTTATTCAGTATTCGTGAATAAAAACAACACCACAGCCAAAGCGAAAATTACACATTTTTTGCTCGATCCTCGCATATAAAATTCTTATTTATAAACATTTTCAGCTGTTTCTTTATACATGCTATAATATTGATTGGACAAGATCTAACTAGACTATAGCAAGTGCCTAGAGGTAACTTAAAACAAACAAAAAAATGGAATGAAGATGAAGGCCTAAAACATTAGTTCACTGAAAGTACTAGCAACCCGCCGCATATAACTCACTGAATCACTAGAACGAGTTTAATCATACATTTGATATATTCGAGGAGTTTAAGACATTAAAATATCACGACACACAAAAGAATGTTGAATCATACCTATTGTATTTCTAATGTTAAACAGAATAGATACCTGTGTCCCATGTCAGTGTGTGTGTGTGCTTAGAATCACTATTTTACCCTTTTTTCCGTTATGTTTTAATTTGTGTTTCAGCTTAATGCTTAAAACATTGATTTTTATTCTACTTACTCATTGGTTATTCTACTTTCCAGCTATACACCCCAGCTTCAGACCAGATGAGATCAACAAGTGCCCATTCTGGTTCACTTAATCTTAATACACACACCCAAGTATAAACCTGCAGGTCACATCTAATCCAAAGAAAACATCGACAGGGACTCATTTCTTGACGATAGCTGACTGCATTCAATGAAACGAAACTTTTTGATACAGATTGAGCAAGTCTTATTTACGGTAATTTATGTATACATGTTTTCATGACGAATATTATTGACAATAAAATTATTTAATTTCACACTTCAAACACATTTATCGCTCAAAAGTTAGTGAACTCATCAGAGAACCAATTTTCTGACAAGCTTGAGTCCTTTAAATTGTATTATAATTGTTCAAATGAAGATAAGTAGCGATAAGCCTGCCATCTAGTAACTTTCATCATAATTGAATAAAATGTTTAGCTAAACGTCTGCCGATAAGACTCAACTCGTTATTTTCCCTAAATTAAACTATTTTTGCTGGTATTGACACATGAGGACTTCTACATTCAATAGAAATTAGATTTAAACGATTTAGATTTTATCTTGTATGAAATACATTTAATAAGAATAGTGTTTAAGTGTGATTTTGTTGTTGTTTTTAATGAAGTGTAAAGAATGAATTACGCTACACTGCTCTTGAAGGAATTTTTGCTGCCTATGTTTTATTTTACCAGTATAAATCCGAGATTACAGATACCTCTATGGTTGTACATATTCTTGATGTCAGCTTAACAATGATTTAAATAAGTATTTGATTGTTTTATCCTTAAAACAGCGTTAATAGAAGTGGTAGTCTCGTGATTTAAATTTCAACCAGTAGAATAATACAAAATAGAATTATTGTAAGCTACATGTAAGAGGGTTTATAAAAGCACAGTTTAACTATGGCTTGAAAACAACAATACTTTTTATTATCCCTTTATTTTGATAGTATGAGCAAAGCTTTTAATTTTGCTTAAAATAAATATAAACTTTGCTTTGATGAAATAAATATGCAAAACTATCCTTAATCCAACTGTCGACGTCTACCCTATTTAGTATTCCAGAAAAAATAGTAATTAAATTAAAGCGACTTGTATCCTCTCGATTTCCGTAAAAACTATTCGAATACGTGATCTTATTCATACATATCTAGTAATGTACAATCAGTTATTGAAGTCTCGAGAAAAAAAAAAAGATCACGGGAGTAAAGTCTCTGATAGTTCTCGTTTCACACGTAAATAATTATTCAAGTCCTGAACTTAATATCGAGAAACCATTAAAAAGTTATTTCAAAGTGATATGTTGTCAAGCTTTTATACATAATAAGGCTTAGCGCTAATAGTGGGTGGAGAATTCCAATATTTCGAAAGCACTCTTGACTTAACACTATTTGTTCATGACCACTTTTAGTTAGTATTTATTTGAGTTCGTATCTCTATTAGATTAAAATATTCGTATAAATGTTATAATTACTCTTTCCATCTACTGACGTCGAAGAGTTAACATACATTATTTCCTGTTTTACACCAGCGTAGTAATATTCATATAACAATTCTAATTTTTCAAGTAAGACTCATCACCGAAATTATATTTCAACTATAGTAGTAATACGTCGAATTATGCTAATAAAGGTAACTGTTCTTTGGCACCCAAAACGTGCTTGTTTTATAATGCTCACATAATTCTTCATTGATAACTTATTTCTATTAAATCAAGAAAAAACATATGAGCACGTGGTATATATATATATATATGTCTGTGTAATACTTTCTAACTGAAATGCTTCCAATCTAGTGCAGATTATCGTTTATGTGACTCTCACAATAAAAGGAACCCCTGAATCATCACATTAGTAGTAGTTGTATTTTTTTTTTACTTTTTTCCAAAAAAATAATAGCCATTTTACTGCTACCTACGAGCCACTCTCATCAAAACGAAACTACAAGGTCACTAACTAGCACTCAATCTTCTGTTTATTTTTTCGTCCAAGCAACTACATTAAACTATTGGCTTAGGTTAATATTCCTCCCATAGATTGAAACATTCGATGTAGTATGAAGCAATTGTAGGGTGATGTTCCCATGAATCACATAGTTTGTTAGTTTGAAGCTTTACTTTTCTCAAACTTCAGATACAAGCAGCTTTATTAGGTTCGTACAATATATATAAATTACATCTAGATGTGTCAGTATAAATTTTCCGAAACAACAAAAAAATATATTTGTGCCAAATTTATCTCATACTGAATTTTTTTCAGAACATTATACCTGAATGTGTAGAATGTACTAGCTTACAATTTATTATGTAAATTTAAAATATACAGAAATCGATATTTTGGATTACAAGGTATTTAAAGGAAAATATCATATTCTCAGAAAATCATAGTAAATCTTCAGAGTTAAGAACGTGCAGGAAATTTAGAATGAAACGACAATAAACAATATAAAATATTTTTTTTTATAAAACGAATCAGACAAATATTTACGACACGTCTTCTTTAAAATATTTGTACTTTAGCACGACGATTATCCTGAGAAACGTATCAGTTACTTAATGATTCAGAAAATAAATTTATCTCAAATAGAAAACAATGTATCTTATTAGCTGATTTTAATAGCAGTGAAGGTGTTTCTTCAAACTTGTAAAATAAGGAATTTAAGGTGATATCAGTGTGATTTCAATGTATTTATGATCATAGTGAATATATAATATGTGTTTCTTCCCTTTTTTTTCTGCTCTATTCCTTGGTATCAGGGATCGTATTTCTTTTATAAATACGAACGTATTCGTTGTATGTTTAACCTACAAGATACTCATTCAGTTCGGTAAATAAAATTTTTTCGATGTCCTAAAAAAGTTGTTGTTCGACCCATTACCCGAACAAAAATTAACTTAAGTATTATCATTAAAGTATGATAATTAAATACATATTTTTATGCTTAAATATGGGGTACCACTTACAGAAAATTGGGAAAAATAATTCTGTTAAAATGTAACACAGGCCTGGGATGGTTTTATTGTCTTGAAATCTTTACATGATCTACAGTAATTTCTGTACGCTGAATCCGAAAATGATATCCATTTTTCTCCATCAGGTACAAAGTTTTCACAAAACGTCATATGTACTTTTACATAAGTGAATCATTTTCAATGAAATCGGGTCACATTTTTTTGTTGTTAAAATGTTGACAACCACTGGCTATATATTTCCCTAGACCAATCGCGACGTGAGAGTCTTATCGATCGTTCTAGAACCCACGAGAAACACACCGCTTGTATATAAACGTTTAACAGGCCGCATGACGTGTCATTTCTGGATAGTATTTGTTTGTGCGGGCACTTTGACATTTTTTTTCAATATTATTTATTCGTCGCTATGGCAACAAGAGGTTGTGTAAATGACCCAAACATATTCTGTTATATTTGTAGTATATGGGATCTAAGCAAAAGTTTTTCTTTCCGATTTGTAAAAAAAAAAAAAAAATTCCTTACGTGATAGGAAAAAAATTAATATTATTTTCGAAATCTGCATAGCTGAATTAAATCCGTTATTAAAACCAAAACAACTTTTATGAAGTTTAAATTCGCA